AAAAAAAAAAAAAAGAAAAGAAAAATAAATAAACAGACTTACTGGTCTGATAGAGACTGGTGATACCTCAAAGACTATGGCCCTGAGTGACCCTCTGGCTTGGAATTGAACTCACTTCCATGGCTTAACTCTCAGCCAAACAACAGAGAGTCCTATACCAGGGAGATGCACTTAGAACAGTCAACCATAGGAGATCAGAAGGGCAGCATTAGCACCGGAAGACAAGTAGGGAGGAAGGAATGCATAGGCAAGGACACAGGGAAAGGGAAAACCACAGGGAGGAAGTGTGTGGTAAGTTGTTACGTGACAGGGAATGGAAACAGTATCACAAAACAAAACGTGTTTATGAACTGTTGAATGTAAAATGAATTTGCTTTGTAAAATCTCACCCAAATCACAATAAAAAGTGAAAAAAAAAATTACAGTCTTGGAAACCGTAGGGGACAGTTCTACTCTACTCTACAGGATCACCATCAGTCAGAACTGATTCCATGGAAATGAGTTTGGTTTTGGTTAGGTACGCAGTCCACCTCAAGCCAGTCTTAGGCATTAATCAGAAGGTGAACTGAAGGAAATTCAAAGTCCCCTCTGCTTTGCAACAAGTATTTGGTGAAATGAATAATGCTCCTGTCACTGCTAGGGTTGAATGAGAGAAAGAACTCACTGGGGTTCCCCTTAGGGTTTGAGATAAGGCCAAAGCATATGAAGTGTAGTGTAGTCCTTTGGGACAAGAATTTTGAAATCATTTCTCTTCAATTGATCAGGGGCAAATTTATCCTCAGCCCTCCTCCACCACCACCTCTAGATTTTCTTGTTCTTGCTGCTTTTTCCACTGTCCCTCCTGGTGAAGTCAAGAAGGCAAGATGAGAAAAAACACAAAGTATGTGGTTTAGGGGGTGGAAGGTGGAGGTGTGAAATAAGTGTAAGTCAGTGGAAAGTAGCCAGGCAGGAAAGGGAAGAGGGAGACAGATTCTGAAGACGGGGAGATTTAATCTATCAGCCAGTTTTCCCTGCTTGGCAAATTAAAGTAAAAGTTACATAACTTTTTAAAAGTCACCTCTGTCTCTGGGAATTCTCTCTCAAGAGAAGAGTGAACACACCTCCTCATATGTAGGACTCCTATAGTGCACCTTCAGTGAGCTCAGGCTGAGACACCATCCTTCCTCCTCCTCCATTGAGAATATTCAAACTCGCACCACCATCTCTCCGTGTTTGTTACGCCCATAGAGTTGGCTGGAAACCCGAAACTTTGTATCGGTACCAGTCCCGGAACCTGGCAGGGTTCTGACTTCGAGTGTGCTTGGATAAAGCCGCTAACGCTTTAAAGCCAGCTCCAAGGAAACTTTACCTGGGCTAGGCTGGGCTCCTCCGCCGAAGAAGGGATGATCTGGATGACTCCATTTAAAGGCGTCTGCTCGTCTGGTTGCTCTTCGAGCACCGAGAGCTCCAGCTGGTCTCCTGGAGATGGGGACTTAGCCCCTTCCATAGACAGGCAGAGCAGGGCTGACTGCCGCGCCGGGAGAAATGCACCTGAGGGTGCAGAGTCCAAGGTTGACTTCCCGGCTCACACTCCACCCACCAGGCGTGGCTGCGCCGAGGGAAAGACCACGGCGGCGGGGAGGGGAGAGAAGACAGGATGGGCCGGGGCAGGCGGTGGCTGGCAAGGGGCCCAGGGGATGTTCCCCTTGCTGCTGGAAGACAGGTAGAGCAGCTGTGCCTAGACATGAGCTCCGGACCAGAGGAGGGCTGTTTTTCTGTTTTGTTCAGGGGGCTGCTTGATATGCCCACCCTATTCATATAGATTGCGTGCAAACTAGCTCAGTTTAGGGCCTGGTTGCCTGTAGCAGTGCCTTAAGGACAGGGCCAGCAGCACAGACCCACGGAAGAAAGTTTGCATTCCATCCCTAGGAGCTATCTATTGCCAGATCTTGCCCCAGTTCTTGCTGCCTAGCAAAAAGTTCAGTCATTTAATCAACAAGTAACATGAAGTATCAACTCTGTGCGACACGGTGCTAGATTCTGAGCATATGAAGATGAATAAGGTACACGAACACACTCCTTTCTCTTAGCCATTACAGAGTCAGGCATACTGGTACCACTTACCGTCTAATCCGTTCCTCCTCACAGCAACCAGAACTGTGTTCTGTTGTGTTTTCAAGGGCTGATTTTTCTAAAGCCATCAGATCTTTCTTCCCAGGTGCCTCTGGGTGGACTACAAGCAAGCACCAACCTTTCAGTCCAACTTTTCAGTTAGCAGAACTGGCTAAGTGTTGCAGCACAGTGATTCAGAGTCAGACATAGAGACAGTATTAAGTATTATGAGAACCACAGGCTCTGGAAACAGGCTGCCTGGGCTAATCTCAGCTCAACAGGTTTCTAACTGTGAGATCTGGGACTTCATCTCTCCGTGCCAGAGTTTCCTCTTCTGGAAAGTTGACATAATATTAGTACCCACCTAATGGAGTTGTTACTAGGAGTAAGCGTTGATACAAATAAAGCACTCTGGTGGTGCAGTGCCTAAGGCATTTGTCTGCTAACCAGAAGGCTGGCAGTTCAAACCCACCAGCCACTCCCTGGAAGGAAGATTGGACAATCTACTTCCATAGTGTACGTCTTCGGAAACCCAAGGAGGGGTTGGATCCGACTTGACAGTAGTGAGTTTGGTTTTTCTTTTGGTTTTCAGAACAGTGACTGAACAGTGACTGACACACAGCCAATATTCATAATTGTCAGCTATTATTATTTACCTTTGGATAGTCATAGATCCCACCCATCTCAGAAAGAAAGAAAAAATATAAAAAACAGCAAACACATTCACAGTCTCCTTGACACTCCATCTATAAATTGGAACTTCTGGTTTACATAGGCTTAGAATTATTATGTTTGCTAAGCATATGGTATACTGATCCAAATGCCCCACGTCTCAACTTCCTGTTCAGAGCAACTTGCTCCCTACTTCTCACCATCCGCCAACTTCCTTCCTCCCCTGGGCTCAAGCACATTATCCCCTACACACACACACACACACACACATTCTGAGATCAGTTTGGGTCATGGACAGGAAGCATATAAATAAGCTCCTCTTTGAAAGATGCTGACTTGTGTCCAAAAGTCGCACCTTCTACGTCTATTGTTCAGACACTTTGCCTGGATTCCTGACATCATTTATCTTTCTCTAGTTTCACGTCTGAGGAGCATTGGTAACACAACACTGGTGAAGTGCTCAGCTGCAAACCGAGAGGTGGGCAGTTCTAAACCACCCAGTGGCTCTGCAGGAGCTAGTGATCAGCTCCTGTAAAGATTAGAACCAAGACCACACTATGGGGCAGTTCTACTCTGTCACATGGGGTTTCCATGAGTCAGAATTGACTTGATGGCACCTAATAACAAGTCTCATGTCTGGACTTTGAACTCCATCTGCCTGCTGAATGCAGTTGTACTAATATCTGCAGCAACTCAGCTGCTGGCTTGCACTCCTAACTGGAGAGCAGAGAACCAGTAAGATTCTGCAGGAATCAGGCTGCATTCACAGCTGGGTTATCTGAAGAGGCTTTTTTATGAAGGAGCTAAGATTAAAGGAGCCAACAAAGGGGTGCTGCGATACCCAAAGACCAGAAACAGCAAGAAGCTATCAGCACCCATAGGCTTAAAAGGGAATGGAGCCTGGCTGAGAGCTAAGGTCTTTGAAAAGGGGCCACCAGATAGGATCTGTCATCACAGAAAGATGCAGCCACATAACTGTGGCCATGCAGGGAGAGAGCAGAGAGACAATACACTGGACTGTCTCTCCTCCCACCTGCCAGTCTCCTGCCAGTGGCTCCCATTGAACCTAGTGGTGCAGAACCGGGGGGACATCCTGCCAGGGCTCAGAGCAGAGAATTAATCTGGGGTAACTGGGGTGCAAAGAGAGAGAAATCTGTGCACATATCTTCCCCTGTAATAACTGGTATATAGTCTTGCTCACACCTTCAATAGTCAATAGACCCCTCTGGTCTGACCAGATTCCTGTCCTGGCTTGCTCTGATCTATCCCAAAACAATGCCACTCCTACTTCTTTGTCTATGACACTCCCTCTATTTGGAGTATTTTTCCTTCCACCTCACCTCTTTTTCTGCATGGACAACTCCCATTCATCCTTTTAATCCTAGCTGAAACAGTTTTTCCATGGAACCTTCCATGGCTCCTCCAAAAAAAAAAAAAAGTTATTCACACTCTCTCCTGTGCTGGGAGCTCTGGTGGCATAGTGCCTAAGCCATTTGACTGCTAACCAGAAGGCTGGAACCTCTAACCCACCAGCCACTCCATGGAAGAAGACCAGGCAACCTACTTCCATAAAGATTTACTGCCTTGGAAATCCAAAGGGGGTCACTATGAGCCGGAATCAACTTGATGGCAGTGAGCTTGGTTTTGTTTTTCCTATGCTACTAGTGCATGATGTACATATTCATAGGCTAAATATATCACGTAATTAGTCCAAGTTAATTCAACAAGTAATATGAGTGCTTGCTATGTATCAGACACTTTTCTGGGTTTTTAAGATATGTCTGAATAAATAGCTGAACAAAGAGACAAAATCATTGCTCTTGTGAGGCTTAATTCTACCAAGGGGAAACAAACTTAATACATAAATAACATTTTCAAAATATTAAGGGAGATGCATGGGAAAAAAAGGAAAAGTAAAGCAGATTAAGGAAGGTTGGAGTGCTGAGTGGTGAAGGGTGGGGGTGCATTGCAATTTTAAATAAGATGTTCAGAATTGGTCAGATTAAGGTGATCAAAGTGTTAAAGTCAGTAAAGGAGTTAGCTGTGCAGATTTCTGAAGGAAGCAGGAACACCAAGGCAAAGGATTAAGCCTTACTTACTGTTTGAGAATCAGTAAAGAAACCAGAAAAGCTGAAGTGGAGTTACAGAAGTAATTTAATTATTTTCTTGCCTGTTTCCTTTATTTGTTTAAACTCCACTCCCAGCACTTAGCCCACCTCAGAACAGTAACTTCTGTAAGTGTTCATTAACTTGAATTATATTGCAAGCACCAACCGTTTATTGGGCCCAGAGCCTTAGAAATCGAGGCTTCTCAAACCCCTAGCCCCCTCCTTCCTGGACTGAAAAAACTTTTCCCATAGTCTGTTATTGATTTTTATTAACTCATTCTCAATGAGAGATTCCCCCTGTCATGTCAGATGGATTGTAGCTACGTTTCAAGCCTGCTCTCTCCATGCACAGATGACAAAAATTTCCATCATGCCCTCAGAGAATCAAAAAGCAACTATTTCTGTCACAAATGTACTCTAAACCAGATCTCTCAATGTCTTCTGAGTACCGTAAAGCAAACTTTATGTATTCTCTAGTCCAGACTCAGTGCATTTCCAGAATTCCATAAACCCAACCCTCATATGGAATCCCTGGATGATGTAAACAATTACCGTGGTTGGATGCTAACCAAAAAGTTGTAGGTTCAAGCCTGCCCAGTGGCACCTCAGAAGAAAAGCCTGGTGACCTATTTCTGAAAAATCAGCCTTTGAAAACCCTATGGAGCACAGTTCCACTCTGACACACATGGCGTTGCCATGGTCAAAGTTGACTTGATGGCAACTGGTTAACTCTTGTATGCTATTGACATCCCTATAGTAGGGGTCGCTATGAGTCGGGGCCGACTCGACGGCACATAACAACAACAACATAGTAGGGTTGAAGAAGAGTTGATGCTTTTGAGTTGTGGTGCTGGCGAAGAATGCTGAAAGTACCGTGGACTGCTAAAAGAACTAACAGATCTGTCCTGGAG